GGAGAGGTGGAAAATGGATACGATGAAAGAATGTGAAACCAAGCATCCACTTTCGAATGTTCTCAAACATAGCATCATCTGGAATATGAAGTCGCAGCGGAATATTGACAGGTGGAGTCGTAGTATGCCGAAATTCCAATATCAATCTCAACTGACTTTGACATCGTGTTCGAAATGGTTCATTCACAAATCGGGACAGTCGCCATAGTAGAAAAATATATGGTGTTGAAATTGAAAATTGTCGAAGGTGTGCAGAAACATGGAATTTTTGTATTGTATCAGAGCCCAAAGCATATAAAATGCGATATTTATCCTCCAGCGTATTGTGTGTTCGTTGTATTGTCACTGCAGTGGTACGAGTGGAACCGTTCATGTTGTTCCAACGTTTCATCACTGTCTGTCCCATTGTCACATGTGTCTTTGTCGTAGGGAGTGTGTAGTGCTGGCGCTGGATGTTGTATTTGCGCAATAATGGTAAAATGTGTGGCCAATTGAGTGTTGGACACAACTGTTTTTGAAGTGCTGTTTCTACTGCAAGTACGTCTGTTTTGACGTACTTTAAGGGTATGCCGACATAGTGCCAAAAAGTGCTTGTTTTATGCCAGAACTTGAGAGCTGGTTCATAATATGCCAGTTGATGTCTTTCCAACTGTCGGTATTTTCGAAGTCGACTTTGTTCACGTTGAAACATATCCAAATGTGTCGAGCCAATGTAAAAATATCGGTGGAACAAAGAAACCTTCAAGTAAACAATGGATGTGCGCATGAACCACTCAAGAGTGAAATTGTGAGGAACTCGATGTGCTCGCAAAATGGCAACGATTCTTTTCCGAAATCGTGTAGTGCACTCATGTATCAAAATTGTCACGCACCACTGAGCTCGTAGCCAATACAAAAGGCGCTGAATTTCCCATGACATTTCGGTGTTTGATAACATGAATTGAATCAGAATGGTAGCTAATACAAGTGTGCTAAGAAATTGCCGAGCTCTATTGGTCAAACTGCTGCCCGGTGTTACTCTGCTCAGTAGTCAGTGTTTGAGGAATTGCACCGCCGCCAAAAGCTTGATCTGTTGTTCATGTTTCATCTTGTTGACCTTAACTGTACTGAGGCCCCAGTCTACTAGGATCTTGTCAATCGCCGGTTGTTCATCTGGTCCTGCTGCTGTGAGTTCCTCTTGGATAGTCTGTGTCAAAGCCTGTAGATTTTCTTGATCACTGTTGGTCAAATTGCCCTGAATCCAGTCGCGAATTTTGGCGGGGGTGCCGTCTTTGGGACTGTTGGAACTGAGAAGAGCTGGTTGAGGTGGTTTCCGACGATATTGGTCCAGGGGTGCTTTGGATGCGTCTACATTACCAGGTCTCACAAATGCATCCATGGGTCCCATGGCATTGGCGTTGGGACGGGCTGGTGCTGATGGTGCTGGGGGTGGATTGCCTGAAGTACTCTGCGACATCTGGTGTTTGAGAAGGGCATTTTCTTCCTTCAACTTTTCCATCTGCTCAAGCATCTGTTGGTTGGGGTCTTTTGGAGCTTTTGATTCCACAAATTTGACAATTTCATCGCCAAACTTCTTGATGGTACCCAACTTCGCATCCCAATCTTGTTGTACTCCATCGTCTTTGATACCCATGATTTGGTGGAGGTCCAAATGAGGATGTTTGTAAATCTCTCTGGAAACATATGTCCACAAAATAGCATCTACTTTGGATCGGAAAGCTTCAAATGACACATAGCGTCCGTTGGAGATCAGTCGCAACGACCAATTTGATGAACCTCCACTGCAAACCTCATAAGCTCGAATGTCTTCCACTGGACGGTTAGCGAGTTGTTGTTGCCTAGACCACTTGGTTGCCTCTACCACCTTGGGAAAACTCACTCCATATTCTTGGGTGGTGTCATAGTGACTCTCTGATGTTTTCCATTTGCTGCATACTTCAAACGGAGCCGGTCGAAATTCATGCACTCCCTGTGACATAGTAGACCTGCGTGGAGATCTATTTTTCTCATATCTGGATCTAGAACGATCTCGAAAATGACGAGAACCACGTGATTGACGAACTGACCGGTCTCTAGAGTCGTGTCGAGAATGTCGAGCAGGATGGCGAGAGCGAGACTGACGAGGAGAATACATGAAGGTATCAGGAATCAATGGAGAAGGACCAAAGACTGATCGGACGATCAACTGACACTACAAAAACTTGAGCACAGGTACTATCGCCAAAGAACTTGTATGCTGTGAACGAAAGCATGCTAGGGAGAAAACGATACAAAAGGAACAGCAATACGTTCGACCACATCCTGCAGGTTGAAAAAGAAGAACTTATCATTTTTGAATACCTGGTTAATGCACAGAAAAAATCTGAAAAACCAAATGCATGATAAAGTGTTGGGTGCAGGTACACGTTTTTTTGATGCCTGTGAGTGAGTGGAGAAACTGAACGGTGAAACAGGGTTCCCTTATACTGTATGGCGATCGTCGACGTATGTAGCAATACTTTGCAGTGTACACAGATGACTTTTGAAACACCATCGCTTGTCTCCCTGACCATGGACCGCGTCGTAAAAGAAGCTTGCTGCCTGCTCTGCGACGACACCGCCCTGGTGAACTGTAATATGATGATGTTGTCGACTATGGGCAACTCCTACAATGCTTAGAGGTTTGTTTCCATCTTGACAATGGCTGTATTTTGCTGCTTTTACCATAGCTGCAATCATACTTGCTTTTTCAGCCTTGGGATCGTTTCCTTGGATCATGGCTCCTCGACAGTAGAATCCAGGGACAGGTAACCAATCTGTGTCTGATTCATCCACTGCGGATGGGCGAATGCATCCATCTTCCAAAATGCCACATGCTGTCAATAATGAACAATTGTGTGCAAAGGCATATTTGCTTTTTGTGTCCATAGTGCCTTCGAGGAGTTGAAACGGAAACGATTTCAATTCGACAGTCAGAGCAAATGGAACATCCTTGTCTCGAAAATGAACCAAGACTTCTTCAAACAGTTCAGTATTGTCTGCATGGATAGTAAACGCTTTGCAAAGGAGTGCACATCCGAAGCGTATGGTCGGTGTCATGTTCTTACCTTTCTCCTGTACTTGTGCCTGAATTTTCTGAAGGAAGAATTCAGTGAGCGGTCCTGAGACCATACTAAGTTGAGGTTCTGTCAAAAATCCACGACTAGGTGAGAAGTAATCGAGGTTGGGGACGAACTTGGAGGCTGTCACGCGCACTTTCTGGAGTACGAGAGCATTCTGAACACGTTGTTTCGTAAGTACAATATCCGATCGTACACGAAGAACAAGTGCATAGTATACTTGGCCCCAATCGACTTTGTCCGACTCATTTTGGAGTAAAGTTGTACATGTAAAACCAGCAATGCATGGAATCACAAAACATTTTCGGAGGATAGGATGTTGTAGTTCCACTACTTCCTCACCGTTTCTGCCAACCGTGAATCGCTGTAGAAATTTGAACGCTGTCTTTCCCTGTGGAAGATAGAAACTACTAAATTCACCATCATCACTCGTATGTTTGCATTCTCCTGGTTTGAGCGTGTTCACCTTTACTCTCTTTAGTGGTGGTCGATCCACTGCGTTCTGATTTGACACGATAGGCTCATTGACAGAACTAACTGTTTGCATGGCATCACAGGGAAGTGGTTGATCACTACCTGAAGCCAACATGTTGCACATCTGAGGCATCGACGAACACATCTGCCATTGTAGTTGTTGGTTCTGAAACTGTTGATCTTGAAGACGTTGTTGTGCCAAATTGGATTCCGCTGTCATGATGCGATCCATGAGATACACTATGGGTCCTGCATGATCAATACTCTGAGCTTCCAATCTATATTCTCCTACAATGCCTTTGACAGTCAACGATAATCCGGATGGTGAAGTAGGCGTACGTCTTTCCGCATGTTCAGCTGGCAACGTGATGGGAACCGGTGATACTCCTGATTTTGCTGAGGCCTCCGCGATAGGTTGTATCTTGGGGGTTGCTTGGTGAGGTCCATGTTCAACTGTACGTGAAGGATGTGAGGGGGGAGGTGAAGGAAGGGGACCGGGCGGAGTCTGTAGAACTGGTGCATGTCCGGGAAATGGTGAAAATGCAGGTGTCGCCCGTGGTACAAATGGAGCTGCTGCACACGGTGAAGACAGTGATACCATCGGTTGTGACGGAAGATACGCAACGGTAGCACTCAACGGCGGTCCATTGGCAGCTTTGCTTCTTGCATGGAGTTCCATATCGCGAAAAAGTCTGCTGAACGCGAAAGAAGAATGAGTTGTTCAAGAATTGTCAGTACATTTAGCGCATGGTGTGTTATGACGAATGACGTGTAGAAATGAAAAGCAACAAATTGACTTAACATGTCAAAGAGCTTGCTATGAGCCAAGGGAATGCATTACCCAGATTGAAAACGCATCAAAATCATGTGTCAACTTGCGCATGATCGAAAGTGGTCAGTGTGGGATTCTGGCTTAGCCCACTGGCCATTGGAACATGCGCGCGGCCGACGATTTTTCTTGAATAACAGGACTATGGTCTCAATTATTGGATTGGTTTGAAGTGTTCGCTCAGTAGAAAACCTCGAAAACATGAATCAAGATCGTACACACATCTGCAGCGATAAGGTCCCTACCGTGTTTGACATTCTGCTTGGTTCGAGCATCACAAACTATGTGTGTCCGCACACTTTTGTGATAGGTCTTCCTATATTCTAGATCTCTTCAAATTGATCTCTTGTCCTCGCAATTGTAAATTGATTTGAAAGAGAAGGTGAAAACTCATAAAATGACAGTAAGAAGTAGGGTTCCCGGCCAATAAAATCCTTCGGCACATGGCCACCTTCGCCCTATGGGCACCATTCGCCCGTTGGGCACTCCTTCGGCTTATGCCACCCTTCAATTGTCCTTGACCCCCCTTCGGCTATTGCCATCACTTCTAGCAGCCCCTATGGCTACTCGCTCAACTTCTGCCTCCGTAGAGGGCGGATTCGGCACACTATGCCAAGATTGTTCTTCCCCATTAGGGATGATGAGGTCATGGTCTGTATAGGACACATGACTAATGCACACTGTTGATTTTTGGAAGTGAACTGCAATGACGATGTGGTTGTACATGCCTGGTAGAATTCCTGAGTCCATCATCCTTGATAAACAGGTGAAACCAGGTCCAAATCATTAATCGGCAAGGTGGTTCTTGGATTAGCCACATCCCACCGCGGAAAAGGAAAGACATGATTAGGCAGGTACGTCGATCCAGCGTCCCGGATCGATATCACAGAATGTCATAGCCGTCTTCGTTGGCTGCAGAACTATGACATTCCCTGCAGCCCCCTGCTGTTAAGTAGTCTTTGGCGCATGAAATCGGAAAACATAACGTGCATAGTCTTTGGCGCATGAATTCGGAAAACATAACGTGCATAGTCATCAAATGTCCAGTTGTAGTTTTCTGCATGTGAATAGCAGTGCACACACACACACACTAGTATGCATTAATGGTCTCTTTGGTTCTGCATCTTTGTTGGCTTTTCAGGTGGAATGTCTATATTTTGCTTCTGCTTCAAAACGAAGACCCTTCATGAGCTCTGTCCTCCGAGACTCGAACAGAACGCAACTACCTAACTTTCTTTTGGTAAAAGAAAAATCATTTCACCCGAAGTGGGTCCGAACTGGGATAAAAACCACAGCGGGGAGAAGATACTGGGATGATTCCTGAAGATAGCGATTCATGGCTAATTACTGCCCTGTCCGATGAGATATGATGTTTTCAAGGGTGACATCTCTGCCGCTGAGGTGCCAATGATTTACCAATCGCAGGAATCTCTATCAGAATCATCATTTTTTCGGGGCACAGAATCCTGGTTGCTCTTCAAAGGTACTTCTGCAAAGGAGTACCGCGACTTAGATACGACTCAAACTGCTTATGGCATCTTCTGGCCCAAAGTGGATCAGTCTTCCAAATATCAATCAACCTGCCTCTGGCGGTGGTGCTTTTGCAGCTGCTCCTGCAACGCGACGGGAGATTTAATGATCATTGGATATCATTGGTTTTCAAGTTGGGGCGTGTTGGCCATTTTGGAGGACTTTCTGACAGGAAAAACAATCTGATTAACCAAAACACCAAAACGCAATTCTCGGTTAGTTTAAGTGTGTTTAGCTACATCCACGCATCAATGCCACAAGATTTCTTGGGTCAACATGGGTCAACTAGGCATTGCGCAACGGTGATCTCCCCATTTTCTCTGACGTTTTCCCGGTTTGACTCTCACAGGACCAATCCCCACATCGTCAATCTCCTGCTGGCGCTGGCGCCAGAGCAGGTGCTGCTGGAGCCGCCTGAAAGCGAGTCATCGAGAGACAAAGAGACACAGACCTCTACATATCTTATCGTATCTTGTCATATCATATCTTTTCATGCCTCATCGTACCTTGTCATATTTTCATACCTTTGCATACTCAGACTGGTGTTAAGTTTGAGATTGACAACATAACTGATTTGTTTTGGGAGCAACGACCACGTCTTGGGTGTGCCGGCGCACTTTTCTTTAAGTTCGAGAACAAATATATTTTGATGCACGTGCCCAATCTTCAAGTGCCATTGGGCTCGCACTTAACCCACCCACACACACACAGACACAGACACAGACACAGACACAGACACACACACAGAGACACACACACACACGTATGCATTAGTGGTCTCTTTGGTTCTGCATCTTTGTTGGCTTTTCAGGTGGAATGTCTATATTTTGCTTCTGCTTCAAAACGAAGACCCTTCATGAGCTCTGTCCTCCGAGACTCGAACAGAACGCAACTACTGTACCTAACTTTCTTTTGGTAAAAGAAAAATCAATTCACCCCAAGTGGGTCCGAACTGGGGTAAAAACCACAGCGGGGAGAAGATACTGGGATGATTCCTGAAGATAGCGATTCATGGCTAATTACTGCCCTGTCCGATGAGATATGATGTTTTCAAGGGTGACATCTCTGCCGCTGAGGTGCCAATGATTTACCAACCGCAGGAATCTCTATCAGAATCATCATTTTTTCGGGGCACAGAATCCTGGTTGCTCATCAAAGGTACTTCTGCAAAGGAGTACCGCGACTTAGATACGACTCAAACTGCTTATGGCATCTTCTGGCCCAAAGTGGATCACTTCCAAATATCAATCAACCTGCCTCTGGCGGTGGTGCTTTTGCAGCTCCTGCAACGGAAGATTTAATGATCATTGGATATCATTGGTTTTCAAGTTGAGGCGTGTTGGCCATTTTGGAGGACTTTCCGACAGGAAAAACAATCTGATTAACTGATTAACCAAAACACCAAAAACGCAATCCTCAGTTAGTTTAACTGTGTTTAGTAGTGTTTAGCTACATCCATGCATCAATGCCATTTCTTGGGTCAACGTGGGTCAACTAGGCATTGCGCAACGGTGATCTCCCCATTTTCTCTGACGTTTCCCCGGTTTGACTCTCACAGGACCAATCCCCACATCGTCAATCTCCTGCTGGCGCTGGCGCCAGAGCAGGTGCTGCTGGAAACGCCTGAAAGCGAGTCATCGTCATCGAGAGACAAAGAGAGACAGACCTCTACATATCTTTTCATATCTCATCGTATCTTGTCATATCTTCATACCTTTGCATACTCAGACTGGCGTTAAGTTTGAGATTGGCAACATAACTGCTCTTTTTTTAAGAGCAACGACCACGTCTTGGGTGTGCCGGCGCACTTTTCTTTAAGTTTGAGAACAAATATATTTTGATGCACGTGCCCAATCTTCAAGTGCCATTGGACTCGCACTTAACCCACACACACATTAGTATGCATTAGTGGTCTCTTTGGTTTCTGCATCTTTGTCGGCTTTTCAGGTGGAATGTCTTCTGCTTCTGCTTCAAAACGAAGACCCTTCATGAGCTCTGTCCTCCGAGACTCGAACAGAACGCAACTACCTAACTTTCTTTTGGTAAAAGAAAAATCATTTCACCCGAAGTGGGTCCGAACTGGGATAAAAACCACAGCGGGGAGAAGATACTGGGATGATTCCTGAAGATAGCGATTCATGGCTAATTACTGCCCTGTCGGATGAGATATGATGTTTTCATATGTTTTCAAGGGTGACATCTCTGCCGCTGAGGTGCCAATACCAACCGCAGGAATCTCTATCAGAATCATCATTTTTTCGGGGCACAGAATCCTGGTTGCTCTTCAAAAAGGTACTTCTGCAAAGGAGTACCGCGACTTAGATACGACTCAAACTGCTTATGGCATCTTCTGGCCCAAAGTGGATCACTTCCAAATATCAATCAACCTGCCTCTGGCGGTGGTGCTTTTGCAGCTCCTGCAACGGAAGATTTAATGATCATTGGATATCATTGGTTTTCAAGTTGAGGCGTGTTGGCCATTTTGGAGGACTTTCCGACAGGAAAAAAAAACTGATTAACTGATTAACCAAAACCAAAAACGCAATCCTCAGTTAGTTTAAGTGTGTTTAGTACCACCCTCCCGCTACCCCTCGATCCCCTCCAACCCCCACCACTCCCCGTCCCACTCCCTTCCTCTCTAGTCGACACTTCCACTCCATTCTCCTTCTTCCCCCTTCCCCCAACCCACGACCCGCCCCCCCCCATTTTCACCC